CTATGGATTCTTCCCTCAAGAACCCTAGCTACTACCATCAATGGCAACCTCCTTCCTCCGCTCCTTTTCCTCCACCGCCGCCCCTCTCTCAGCCGTCTATTTCTCATCAATTCCATCACAATTACAGCAACTTCACCCACCGCCAAGGCTTTCCTCCGCTACCGGCGATTAATCAGCCGCCTTTATACTACTCCCAGCCTCCGCCTCCGCCGCATGTTAGTTATGAGTCTCCCTGGATATCGCAGCCGTCTAGTAATTTCGATCAGTCTGCTTGTGTTGGTTACATGGGAAAGCGAATTGATTCACGGATAGTGAGCCCTAACTATCAATTGGATTACGGGAATCGAACGAAGGATTGTTTTCATGGTGTTTCCGCTTCTGATTTGGATAGCAATTTTAGGTTTAGGGATAGATTCAGTAGTCTTGGATACGCAAGAAAGGGTTTTGGGGATTTTATACCGGAGTCTGATGGATACTGTAGGTCTTTAGGGGTAGGAACAAGTTTAGGTCATGGCAATGCCCCATTTGTTGCAGGTAATGGGGGAACTGGAAACCAGAGATGGGTTGAGATACCTAAGGATGATTATTACCGTTCCGAGATTGAGCCGTATTTTGATAATGGAAAGACTAAGGGCAGCGATGATATGAATCGAACAGCTAATAGGTTTAAGTCGTTTAAGGTGAAACGAAAGGAAACTCGTTGCATTGCTGGAAATGTGCTTATGGGGGAGGTCACGAAGAAAAAAGAAAGCTTTCCACAGCCTACATCATCTGATATTGAGAACTTATCGAGGTGTTCTGAAGGAGGAGTTCCTTTTGCTAGTAGGGCCATGTCTAGTTTTCAATCCCAACCTTGTGAAGATGAACTACCGAAGAAAGATATGGATGATCTGTCACCAAGGAATTTACGAATGGAGGATGTAAATGATAACAGCTTCGCAGTTGAGACAAATACCACTACTAGGATTGATTCCCTTGATGGAACTGTTGTTTCACAAGCTGAAAGTCAAGCCTGTGAAAATGGGGTCAATTCATCCGTTGAGAATGTTAGCAGGAAACAATCCATGGAAACTAAGCCTCTAAATAGCACTGCAGAAGTTGATCAGAATCTAGGTAGTGATGCAGGTAAGTACACTTGTAGAATTAGCATTTCGTCATCTCCTAAGAGTGTTGCAGGAAAGGGATCATCAAACGTGCAGCCCGTGGAGAGAACTTCTGTGTTGTTGAGCAGCATCGATAAGAATAAGGATGGTTGGAGTAATGGGTTGGTTGTCGATAGAGAATTATCATCTGCTGTGTATTTGGAAGATGTAAGTTTTGCGCCTAATCAAGATCTGGGTTTAAGTTCTCATGATCCTGCTGTGGATCAGTCTTGTAACTTAGATCGTAGAGGGTTGAAATCTTGTTCATCTGAGTCATATATTTCGCTTAGGAAAGGTACTAATGTTGATGCAAGTGAATTCCATTTTAACCAAGAAGATAAGGAGAAGTCCCCTACTTGCAGTAGCTTGCCTGTATCAGAAATTGGAAATATGGACAGTTCTGGCAGTGAAACGGACTCAGAATGTGCTCCCCTTGAAACTCAACCATGTCAAGCAGGACGCAAGGTGCTGCCTAATGACCATTTAGGATGTGGCTCATCTGATGTTGTGTGCTCTATGGATAAAGATATGGTAGATGATCCTTTGAGGATCAGTTCTTGTTTGGTACCTGATGGTTCTATCAGTTCGTGTCATCTTTCTCCCTCTGTTTCTGTGAATGAACGAAGTAAGACAACTTTGAGCTCCATAAGTGAGAAAACCCAAAAGAGGGCAAATAAATATATGCATTCTGCTCAGGAGAGGTATCCACGTTCTCAATCTGACACTAAGAAGGATGCAAACCCTCCAATTAATGTCACAAAGCATCGCACGTGGCATCGAAAGTCCGATACTTCTGCTTCTCCTCTGGTAGCTGTCAAGCCCAAAGTGACTGTCCAATCTAGTAGCACTTATGTACGTAAAGGAAATAGTCTTCTTCGGAAACCATCTCCTGGTTATCTAGGTGGTATATCTATTGGATTGTCTGTCTCCATGTGCTCTCCAATTGAACTTTTCCTCTTTTGAAGATAAAAGCATGGAATCTGTTGGTCGAGCTGACAATATTTATTTTCTTGTGAAAACAGGTGAAGCGCAAACTCTGCAGAGGCACTCAAGGGCTCCCTCAGACTGTACTTCTTCAGGGAAATGTGCATTATCTTCTGGCATGGATCCTCTTTCTAACGGTTTACATGGATCATCATCTGAAGAAGCTGATGATCCCGACTATTTCCGGAATGGATTAAAGAGTTCTGATACACTAGCTCAGACAGGTTATGCTTCAGATTGCCAGCCACAAAATCTTACGAAGTTGGAATCTTTAAATCCAAGTAAAATGTTGTATGCTAAGAGGAAAGCAAATCAGTTGGTTGCAGCTTCAGATATTCATGGTGCAAGTACGAGCGAGATACTACACTCTGGTGGTTACTTCAAGAGAAGTAAAAATCAACTAGTTAGGAATTCAGAGAGCCTTGTTAATCAGGCAGAATCCTTACCTGATGATTCTTTAGATTTGCAGACAGGTGAGAAGATGGTTTCAAAGAGATCCTCTAGCTCGGCGGTCTCCGAATTTGGTATGTTGGGAGAAATAGATCTGTGGGTTCTTTGTGAGTTCACAGTAGTTTGTGTTGAAATTGTTCTTGTTCTGTTATAAATATCTCTCTGTTGTCTTTGTGTTTTTGCTTCCTTAGCCAGAAGCAAAAAATTGAGTAATTGATCTTCTTTTCTTGTTTTAGCTGTTATGAGACCATTTAATCGATCAAATTTTTCTTTGGTCTGGACACTGAAAGAACCACTGTCAAGAAAGGCCAATGGAATTCACACCAGCCCTCAGAAGATTGTGCCTCAACCAGCCTCGGTTCTGCAAAATGGCTCTTTTTCCTCCATCGGGTACTTTCCTGACATTTGACCATATTGTTTTTCTCTGAGTCCCTTTTTTCGCTGTTCACAAGTTTGATGACAGAACATTCTATCTTCAGTCGAAAATTTCTGATGATGAGAAAGAGACGTACAGTGTACAGAAGATCAACTAATGGGCATTCGCTTAAAAGGTCGAAGGTAGCAAGTATTGGTGGGTCACACTTAAAGTTGTCCAAGTCCGTTGAGAGAGACTCGAAGAAACCTGAATTTCTGTCAGATGTTGAGTCATGGCGCTCTGCTTTTCCTGAATGTGGGAAGGATACAAAGAAATCATTTACACCAAGGAGATTGGTGATCGGCAATGATGAGTATGTTACGGTTGATGCACATTATTTAATTTTACTGCTCAAATTAGACGCTCAGTGAACGTCTCAGTTAAATTTTGCAGATCTGTTTGGATCAGAAATGGTCTCCGGCTTGGTGGAGATCCAAAGAAAAGAACTCGTGTGTTGGCAAATGAGAAGGTCAGATGGAGCCTGCACAATGTTCGGTTGCGGCTAGCCAAAAAAAGGAATTACTGCCAGTTTTTCACAAGATTTGGGAAATGCAACAAAGATGATGGAAAATGTCCATATATTCATGATCCTTCAAAAATTGCAGTATGTACTAAATTCGTGAGTAGATTGTGTGCCAGTCCAGATTGCAAATTGACCCATAAGGTTCAACTACTAAATCATTGCCGTAGAAATAGTATATTTGGCGATCACAAGAGATCTCTGACTGGTTAACTTGTTCCTCCACAGGTGGTTCCAGAGAGGATGCCTGATTGTTCTTATTTTCTGCAAGGTACAATTTTTTTGCTGTAAAAAACCAATTTTGGTGTCTCAAGATACTAATACCTGTAATGCAGGAGTATGCAACAACGAGCCATGTCTATATAGGCATGTCCATGTCAATCAGAAAGCTGCAATATGTGAAGGCTTTTTAAGGGGATACTGTTCAGATGGAAACGAGGTAAGGATTAGACTTGAATTACTTTACACAGTATAACAATTGGAACATTTGTTCCTCATTGACATGCATCTGCATCTTTTCGTAGCACTAGTCTTGTCTTTTAGTGAATCATCCTTAATGATTCCTCTGATGACTCCTATAGCATAATAACTTAGTCAACACCATCAGGAGTACACGAAATAGATAACTCTGTGTCGTATTATCTTATCACTCTTTTACTCTGGTTCCTTCTCTGTTATCTCTGAAATAAATCTTGATGTAAGATGGGAATTGTATACATAACAATGGTCAGTGTCGGAAGAAGCACACATACACCTGCCCAGTTTTCGAGGCCACAGGATCTTGCCCTCAAGAGACCGAATGCAAACTCCACCACCCCAAGAAGCGAAGCAAAGGAATAAAGAGGAAAAGAGAAAATGAACCATGGCAGAGAAATTCCTCTATGCGTTACTTTGGTTCCATGCACAAAAGTCTTCCAGAGTGTGAGCCAATGTTGGTCAATGAGCTTGCTGCTGATGGTGCATTTTTTGGAGGGGAAGGCCTCGACTTTATTCGACTTGATCGTGATGAGCACGAAGCCAGTGAGAACATGGATTCAAGACCTGCGGAATCAGGTTCTGACGATAGTGAAGCGCATGATTCAATAGACGAGCTAATCAGACCAGTGGGATTGATGCAGAAGTAGGTAAGTTTTCTTCGTATGCTAAGCCTGGTAGTAGGATTATCTTTGTGGCTTCTCTAATGTCTGATACCACAGTGATGTAGGTAGTAGGTAATACATAGCGACAATTGTAAATATATTTATTTGGTTTAAAGACCCCATTAATGAAATCTTCTTTGCTTTTTGGCCATTCTTCAGTTTCTAATTTCGCTTTAAAGTTAATAATATTACAGATTACTTATGAATTCATAGGGAGTGATTGAATGAGAAAGTAAGCTCAATAGATGATAATCACATTACACAGATCTGCAGCTCTTGACATGAAGTCTAAACTACAATAAGAGTCTTGTTTGTAGAGAGAGAGTCTCTCGAATTCTTATCCAATACAAAGAGATCATTTGTTAGAGTGTTGAGTTCCAAAGCACATATCCATCAAACGTTTTTCATGCGTCCAGGGTTTGAATGCACCTTCAAGAACTATGTTCTGCAAAAGAAAGCAAATCATAAAAAAGACATTAATCATTTTGTTTTATAAACTTGTATAAATGATCATGCATTCAAGGTAACAAAAGGATTTCACTGACATCAACTTGCACATGTAGCAAAAACACATTTAGCCCATGAAACAGAACACTATACCTTTAAATAAAAGAAAAAGCCACGCAACAGGTTCAAAGCTCTAGAACAATCCTTCTCACATTGATGAAACTTCTTTTTGAAATCTGCAGAATCAAACCAAAGTAAAACTCATATATGTTCGCATTCCGAGTATACATCCAATGGAAAGCAATGATAAAACTAAAGGGCATGATGAAAGAATACAATACATCACTCCAAGCTATTGTCAGGTTATAATGATAAGCAGATGCCAATAAGTGTGAATATCAAACTTTCCTTCAGGAATTTAAGCTTAGATAACTGAGTTTTACGGTTTTCTCTTGAGAAGATAGTTCAGGCAAACCGCACAGTAAACATTACATTTCCACGATAACACATTTAACAAGGTGCTTCAGTTAGTTACCTGGATACTGTTCGAGAAATGAAAGTGTCAACTGGTTCTTAACATTATATGTAATCTCTCTTCCATCTCTTAATTCCCTAGACCGAGTTAATGGTCTCTTGAGTGATGCCGTTTTCCTGAGTTTTAAGAACTCTTTTTTATCATAGGGCCTTCTGAGAATTTCCATTAGCTTCTTGCTAAACATAGAGTTGAATATATCATCGGATTCAATACCATCTTCAAGATCCTTGGAAAACATAACAGAAGGCAAAAATGTCAATAGAACAAAAATTAGAAAGACAAATTTGAAAACAGAAGTGAGAGAGTGAAGGGTACACATACTATCACTTTCTCGTCTTTGTTTGCCTCGAACGGGAAATTGCCTCCATCGGGAAATGGATGATTACTGATTGCAATAATATCAGGATCTGACAAACACACGAAATCTTTCACAGGCTTTCCTTTTTGATCCGGTTTAAAGATAGTAATTGAATTTTTCAGATACTCCAAGTAATACGCATAGCCTTTATCTATCGACGATAAGCTCTTTTCGTTCTCCTTCTTGCAAGCTTTGAATCTGTGAACTAATTCGTCTTTGACATGGCATTTAGACTTCGATTCAACATTGTTCTTGGTCACATGGATCTTCCTTCCCTGTGGAGCTTCCCTTTTCTTTTGTCGTGCGTCTTTGGTGTTAACCGAGTAATAATCTGCTCGCCCCTTCTCAGTCTTAAGTCTCTTTGATGCTCTGAAAATCTTCTGAGACTTTGCATTTCTCTTTGCACTGCTCTTCTCATTTACCTTCTTGCAGGCTTTGAAATTCTTCTTAATGGCAGAACTCTTCCTTCCCCGTTGAACATCTTTGACATCCCTCGGAGGCTTTAATTCGACAGTGTTTTTGGTCGGACCAATCTTCCTTCCTCGACGAACATATCCTTTCTTTTGTTGGGTTTCTCTGTTCTTCAAGACAGTCTTCGAAATCGGCTTATATTTCGCTCTACCATTCTCAGTCCTCAACCTCTTTGAAACACTGGAAACTCCTTTTCTCCCTGCTCCACTCTTCTCGTTATCGACATTGTACATAAGACGCAATGGAGAACTCTCCCTCACATTATCCTCAAGCAAATATAGAATCTCATTTCCACTACAGGCCGCCAAGTACTTTTGATAATCCGAATCAAAAACCAAACCAGGACCGGAATCATCATCAGCGCAAACAATCTCCATACTGGTTTCGCCGTATTCAACTACAGTATTAGCTACCTCGCACGACACTGGACCACAAAGAGCAAGCATTCTACTACCACCAACTTCATCTTTGTCTGTATCTGACTCAATCTCAATTATTTCCATATCCACAACTACTACCACAGAGTTCTTCGGTTCCATCAACTCTAGCAGACTTTCACTCTATTCGATCCTGAAAACATATGAAAATGACCAGACTCGTTAAATTGACATAAACAAGTCGAAAGCTTGTCAGATTCAACGCCCAATTTCTTAACCT